CATATGCATATCAACTTTGCATTCGATTATTCTGCGCTCAACAAAATAAGGCATGACCCTTTTTGTTTGCTTTGAAGTGCATTAGCATAATAAATTGCAGCACACTGTTTTATGGTTTGCATGGGTCATTAGACATTTAATAAGCGGCCTTAAATATATTATAATGGAACACAAAAACTATACATATAGAATTTGATTTACATATTTATTATTCAGCAGCTCTTGTCATTTGCCTACTGCTGTAAAAGTGCATGGCCACAAGGCTAATGCTTCATTTACTTTACAGACTTTTAGACCATATATCAGCTAAATGAACTGTGAACATCTATTACATTGCTGGTGTCCCTCCTGCCCTTTGCACCTCTGTAAGCTGCCCAAATACCTTCCCCTTTAGTCTGCAGTGCTAGAAGTTATGCTGCAATGCCAGATCTCATTTCTCTATGTAACACACTGCACTAATACTGATTGCAGGATGTTAATTAACCACAAGATGGCAGTGTTCTGCAGTTATTCAGTCTTTATTGAAGCAAAGCCTTGTTGAACTTCTATGCTGGTAGCAGGACATCTGCACTCAGACAAGGAGTGAACAGACTACATATCCCAGAAGAGCTGGCAAAGAGGTGGAAGCCTATAAATTCAGCAGCCCGGGAACTCTCCAGGAAGGAAGTAGATGGTGAGAGGCAGAGGATGTGTATGGAGAAGGTCTCAGGGGATCCAGGCTGGATCGGGCCGCATCGCAGAGAAGGAAAGAGGGACTGCAGGCCACAGGTATCGCTGATGAGCAGGACAGTCAATCCTGCAGGCAGGCGAATCATAGTGCTATCATTGGCATAGCTTCTTTGTCAGAGGGATCAAGAGATCACAGGGGCCCCAAAAAAGAGACCACCTTTCGCACTGCAAATACTATAGACTGGGTAAGAGGGTTTCATAACCCAGATCATCACAAGTTACAAGTGACTGTGTGTAGGGCCCCATCAAGTGTGCAGAATATTTGTCACCATTTCTTGATGAAATACTAAAGAGGACATTATTTCTTATAGGTATTCATCTCAAGAGTTAAAACTAGTTCCCCGCTATTGAGAACCCAAAAGTGAGTTAGCCTAGCATCTTGATAGTCCACTTCGGCTCACTTGGGGAGAGATATCTCAAAAGCTGGAACTGATATTTAAATTCTGATCCTTCAGGACATTTACGTTTTCTCGAAGTGATACTGTGCTTTATTCTTTTGTTAAACATTTTAGAGTATTTCATTTTTTATGCACATCTATTTTTATTCTTTTTTTGTGCTTGTACTCTCTATACCCTGACCTCAATACAATCAGAATATTTATTCACATTAAACTGTGAGTTCATTTTATGGTTCAAAGCCAGGGAGTCCTCCTGGTCAAGGTTTTACGGTGATGTCAGCAGGGCTCTACTTCCAAAACAGGCTCAGAACAGGCAGGAAGCACAAAATACTCAGTGGCTGTAAAGGGGTGGTGCTACACCTATAAGATTTTCGTTGTGTAGGGGATCATGGGATTATGCTGTTAATGCGCTTTATGTCTGAACAAAATGGTATTCTGTTACGTGTTCTTCGTAATCTTGCTTTAAGCCAAACCTATACTTTGCCCACACATGGAAAGCTACAAGCTTCCTTTAAAACTTCATAACCAGCAGCACATAATCACTTTTCCTTAGCTCCCCTACTGCTCTGTTTTAGCTCAGTAAAGAAAATACTTATCGGCAGGAGCGGACTGACCATTTTGAAACTCAGGCACTGCCCGAGGGCCCGGGGTCAGTAGGGGGCCACATGAGATACCCCTGGTACCTTTTTCATAGGCTTTTTTGAGTTTGGGCAAGGACACAGGGGCCCCATGATCCCCTATTGCCCGGGGGCCCCATGAGTCGTCAGTCCGCCCCTGCTTACAGGTATGGAGGAGCATGTTACTTACGCCGTAGTGCAGTGCAAGGTCAGTCACCAAGCACCAATACTTTTACATGGTGTTAGTCTATAGTGTTTGGTAAGCTGCAAGTGGAGCAACTGTGCAGATTACACAGGGCAGCTTCTCTTGCTCCTGACAGCTAACGGTGTGGCAGAATAGCAAAGAAAGGGGGTGTATATGCTGCTGGAGGAGTATCTAAAGTGAACCTTTTGCTTTGAAACTTAAAAGTGTCATGCATGATGTTACATAGTAACACTGAATTTACTGTGGGTATGAACATATTGAATGAACAATTGAATAGCAATTTGAAGTGTTCGGACACATGGCACACCTTCCAACTACATGCAGCTTCCTTCCAGAGTCAGAGATAACAACAGAAGACACTAAACCAGTTTATTTTGTTTCATTATTTTCTACAAAATTATGTTCTTTCAAACGGTATATTCTTGAGTGAAAAATATATACATGCGGTGCTGGTATGTATGTATAGTCCACTCTCTGAACATAAACTGCGCTCCTAATAGTGTAAAAAACAAATTGGAAGGAATCGATGCTATGAGTGAATATCCTGATCTGGAGAAATATATGTTTAAACAAAAGCGCATTTTGCCAACCATGAAAGTGAGAATCAAATAAAACTGGTGAGTGCACACCTAAAGGGGGAACACAGTAGTTTTGAAGATTTTTTACAGTCACGTAGTGATTTTATTTTGCATTATTCAATTCACACAGTGGATATAATGAGGACTTTTTTAATGGACTCTTGTGTTTATTAATTTTTTATTATATAATGGTTTATTATATGATTTATATAATTAATTTTTATGGTCTATAGAGCGCTGCATATTTTGGGATTTTTCTAAATATTTATTTGGTCACGAAACTATGTTCTTGGCTACATTCTGTCAACGGCTTGTGAGTTGATAGCCTTTACTGAAGGCATAAGGCTGAGAAGATCATTGTCTCTTTACACTTCATCCAGTGTACTGCATATTAAAAATTAAAACTGTTTTGGAATAAACTTCTGTATCTTACTGGAGAGTTAAGCTGTCTGTGGAGTATGGTTATTCAGCAAGTGACCATACTGGCCAGAAAGACAGAGGTATAAAGGAGGTATGTCACTGCATAAAGCAGTGCTTGAAACAGAACAAAGGTATAGGAAAAAAATACAATTTGTACCTGGAAGTAGCTGATCACAAGCACTACTGCTCCAATAGCAATATAGTAGTAGGCAAACTGTGTCATTTCTTTTTCAATGTTTATCCTGTGACAAACGTTTACAAAAGTCAGTACAGTACAACTGCCTCTCAAAATGCTCACATGAAACCACAATAATATGTACAGAAACCATGCAGTATTTTTTTCCATTTTTAGTGAAATGCATTGGAGTCAAAGAGGAAGGTGAAATTATGTTTTGTTTTGTTTTTTTTTAAGGGGAGCAATGGGTTTTAAACAAAACAGATATTAAATTAAATTGAGTAAACAACCCTTAATGTACCCTGCTAGGAAAACACCTTCTAAAAAAAGACAAAAAGTGTAAAACATCTTTTTTTTTCAAACAAATTCCCACTAAGCAGCTGACAGTTTTCCCTTTTATCAAAATTGTGGCAAAAATAGGTTACACCAAAATCTCTCCACGCATTCCTAACCCAGATCTTACAACTGCTAAAAACTTGTATAGCCCCTTCTAGTGTTTGATGTTTTTTGAGACCATTGTGCTTATCACCTTTAAATGTTCCTCCAAAAATAACAAGCTGGAACCCTATTGTCACCCACCAATAAACTATAGCACCATCTCATTACATAGCTAAATGCTTTCTATCCATCCATCTTTAAAAGGTGAAGAACACAACAAAAGATAATCAAAGCAGTGTAAAAACAGCATAAAAAATTAAGAGACCTAATATGCTATGGTAATCTTAAGAACAATTTTTCAGGTAATATTTCTTTAGGATACATTTTCAATACCCAGATTGTATGTATCTCTTACCCACACTCCACTGTAGTGTTGTCCATTTCAAATTGCGAACCATCGGACCAGACAATGGTGCCATTGATACAAGTTTTATTCTTATCTTGGAGTATCTGACTTTCTTTCTCATATTCAACAAATATGTCTGTCATCATGCCATAGACAAAGAGCATGAGTGGCTGAGCCGCCCCGTGTACTAAGGCACACACTGCGCCCACCACCATCATGATGATGTCAGTGCTGGAAGCATAACGGAACTGAAAGAAGACAATAGTGAGAGTGCAGTAACTGAGCAAGATGCACAAAGATTCTTCAGTATACAGAAGGGACCATGTTAGGAATTCACCATCTCACCATTCTACCATTTCTAATACCATTTTCTAGTAGGACTGCTTATCAGGCTTTGGCCTAGGCAGGCCATGAAAACATTGCAGAATTTTCCATGAGGGTCTGTTCACAACTATACCAACCAATTAAAAAAAAATCTGTCTAATAAAGAGTGCTTGGGGATTATTTCTGATTGGTTATCCTAATACTCTTGTTGCATACTTAAGCATAATTATACCAAAATTTAATACTGCCATGGCCAAAAATATTGGCACCCCTGCATTCCTGTCAGATAATGCACCACTTCGCCCAGAAAATTGTTGCAATTACAAATGTTTCGGCATTCTCATGTTTATTTCTTTTGTTTATATTGGTATGACAAAAAGAGGAGAAATAAAAGCCAAATCTGACACATTCAACGCAAAACTCCAAAAATGGACTGGACAAAATTATTGACACCTTCTTAAAATTGTAAGAAATAATTTCATTCCAAGTTTGTGATGCTCCTGTAATTTGTAATTAAACTCAGCTGTATCCAATAGCAGATGACAATATAGAAATCACACTGGAAACCAGTTAAAAATGGTGAAAAATTTACTCCACCTTTTTGTTTTGTGTTTCTGTGTGCCACATGGTGCACCGAGAAGAGAAAGAGCAGCAAGGAATTGTCTGAGGATTTGAGAACAAAAATTGTGGAAAAGCATGGACAATCTCAAGATTAAAAGTCGATCTCCAGAGATCTCAATGTTCCTGTGTCCACTGTGCACAACATTGTCAAGAATGTTGCAGCCTATGGCACTGTAGCTAATATCCCTGGATGTGGACGAAAGAGAAAAAGTGATCAAAGATTGCAATGAAGGATTGTTCGAATGATGGATAACAGGGGCGGACTGACAACTCATGGGGCCCCCGGGCAATAGGGGATCATGGGCCCCCTGTGTCCTTGCCCAAACTCAAAAAAGCCTATGAAAAAGGTACCAGGGGCATCTCATGGGGCCCCCTACTGACCCTGGGCCCTCGGGCAGTGCCCGAGTTTCCAAATGGTCAGTCCGCCCCTGGTGGATAAAGAACCTCAATCAACTTCCAGACAAATTCAAGCGGACCTTCAGGCACAGGGTAGAACTGTGATCAGCTTGCACTATATGTCACCATCTGAATGAAAAGGGACACTATAGTAGGAGAACCAGGAGGACCCCACTGCTGACACAGAAACATAAAAAAGCCAGATTGGAGTTTGCCAAAACCTTACCTGAGGAAGCCAAAATCCTTTTGAGAGAATTTGCTGTGGACAGATGAAACAAAATTGCAACTTTTTGGTAAAGCCCATCATTCTACTGCTTTCAGAAAAAGAAATCAGGCCTTTAAAAAAAAGAATACAGTCTCGACAGTCAAACATGGTGGAGGTTCACTGATGTTTTGGGGTTGCTTTGCTGCTTCAGGCACTGGATGTCTTGACCGTGTGCATGGCATTATGAAATCTGAAGACTACCAAAGAATTCTGGGGTGCAATGTAGGGCCCAGTGTCAAAAAGTTGGGTCTCTGTCAGAGGTCATGGGTCTTACAGCAGGACAATGACCCAAAACACACATCAAAAAGCACCTGGAATGGTTTCAGACAAAGTGCTGGAGAATACTGAACTGGCCAGCAATGAGTCCAGATCTCAATCTCATAGAGCACCTGTGGAGAGATCTCAGAACAGCAGTTGGGAAAAGGAACCCTTCCAATCTGAGAGACCTAGAGCAATTGGCGAAAGAAGAGTGCTCCAAAATTCCAGTAGAGAACTCATTGATGGTTACAGGAAGCGATTGATTTTAGTTATTTTTTCCAAGGGGTGTACTACCGAAATTTTTAAATTTAAGGATGCCAATAATTTTGTCTAGCTCATTTTTGGAGTTTTTTTGTGTGGAATGTGTCAGATTTGGCTTTTTGTTTCTCCACTTTCTTGTGTCACACCAATACAAACAAAAGAAATAAACATGAGAATGCCTAAACATTTGTAATTGCAACAATTTTCTAGGCGAAGTGGTGCATTATCTGACAGAAATGCAGGGGTGTCAGTAGTTTTGACCATGACTGTATATTGCAGCTAACCAGTTCTTAGAAATGATGACTGCATTTAATTTCTTTTTTTTACATTTTTTTCCTTTATTATCACCTGGCAATCCTGCAAATAACACACTTCCTGTCCTAAGTTGGCTTCCGAAATTTGAATTATGAAAATAATAGAATAGAATAAAACATAATAGAATAGGATAGAACAGAATAGAAAAGAAAAAATAGAATATAAAATAAAAGAATAAATAAAATAGAATAGAATATAAAATAAAGGAATATAATATAATAGAACAGAACATAAAAAAGTAGAACATTAAAGAATAGAATAGAAAAAAATTGAATAGAATAGAAAGATTATAACCATCTTCAGAAATTCGAATTTCAAAATTCGACTATAATAGAACCAGCTATTCTTCAATTGTATACATATTGTGAAATAGTTTACAAACGTATGAACTGAAAAAAATAAAATAGCTGAATACATCCCCAGTGAAGTGACTGGCCTCAGGTAATACACAGAGATTAAAAAAAATTCTCCTACATAAGTTGTACCTATTTATCTAAAGCCCCCTCTTCTCTATGTCCATTCAAATTGCAGAATTTATACAGCTTGTCTATGTTTTTTAAAAACGGGGTGAGGAGCTGAAGTTACACTCTGCAGAGCTCAGTGATGAGAGCTGGAAGCTGACCTGAGGGAAGGACAAACCTTCCATTCATACAGCGCATAAGAACAGAGCTGAAGCTGTCAATCACAGGCTATGTGTTGGAGGTCCCTCCCCTGTCACCTTTTTACCTCTTAAGTCAGGAAAACTTGTCAGAAGTGACTCGTGTAGATAACTAAAGAACAAGGCAGCGAGAGAAATGACACTTGGGGTTGATTTAAAACTGGACAGTGCAAAATCTGGTGCAGTTCTGCATGGAAACCAACCAGCTTCCAGTTTTTTTGTCAAAGCATAATGGAACAAGCTGAAGTTAGGAGCTAATTGGCTGCCATGTACAGCTGCACCAGATTTTGCACTCTCCAGTTTTATTAAGTCAACCCCAGTGTGTTCTGAATTGAGCCAAATACACACTATAGAGGGATATGCTTTGTTCATAATTCATGTCACAGATTTACAACCACTGGTAAAGTTTCTATATCTGTCTTATCCAGGTTTATTATCCTTTCTCTCTTGCAAACGGACGTTCTGACCGGGTTCGCCTGTCCATTTTTTAGTCCAGACCTGATTGGCACCTCTATTCTCCTCTATGGAGCGGCGGGTGTAATGGAATATATGTCTGTTTACACCCACCGGCATAAAATTCGATCCACCAAAAAGAGACAGATGGAGATCCATTCCCCCTCAGTCCATTGGATGGGATGGCAGTCAGATGGAAACAGATTGAGGGTCCGTTTCCATCCGACTGCCAATAGAGAGCTGTGTCTGTGTCTCTGCAGCAGCGGAGCAGACACGAACCTGTCATTCACTTGCTCAGCAGGGATCAACGGAGATCAGAGCAAGCAGATCTGCTGACAGGTCCTCCCCATGTGAAAGGGGCCTTACTGAAAATCTGTTGCCTATTTAATGAAAATCAAAACTCAGATAGTTACCAACTGAAAGAATCCCACTCGAATTTCTTTTTCTTTCTTTTTCTTGGGTTTCTTTTCAAATCTAAGGAAATAAAGGTAATCAGCAAGATATTTTTTCAATGTTACTTGAATTTTTTTAACGGTAGTAAAGCAAACAAGGACCTAGAGTACTTTTGTAGAATGAATCTCTGACTGTGGTTCAGGAATATTTGTGTCTTTCTCCTTCACTTCACAGATGAAAGTATCATTTAGGTTTTTTATTATAAAAAATAGGTTTTCGTGTTCGAGCCAGTTACACCATGGTGGGTCAGACATTTGTGTGTACAGTAGAAATGACTAGAAGGAAATGTCACAGTTTCCTGGGGCACTATTTTGGCATCAAGCATAAAACCCTCCTATCCTCTACCTCTGTTTGATCTTCAGTTGGCATGGAGTTGTTCATGTAATCAGTTATGACACCAGCCATTGGATGATTTGTTATTCATTACGTGTCTTGAATGTAATTGTTTTGGGAAACCGTTTAATCAGTGTCTTTAGTTCTGCTTTAAATTGATGGGTTTAGATTGGCTTTATTCAATGGGTTTAGTTCCACTTAATGTGGTAAGAAGTCGGCCTGGGCCTAATTTCAGAAGTGTTAAGTTATTTAAAGTGAGCTGGTGTGCAGTTCAACCATTCATTAAGGTGGAGAAAAAGAAACTGAGTTGATTCTTCACAAGACTGAAGTGAAAACAGCTGCTTTTTCCTATAACACACCTTGTTTATTTTCTTTTCAATATATTCTATTTTTGGTAAAAAGAGGTACAAATACACTGTATAGGCAAATGCCCAAAAGCTGGGTAGTCAACGTATCAATAAAAAAATCAGTCATGTCAAAGCAATACAAACAGCAAGGTATTATCAGGAACATATGGTCAGTAGTACAAGACAATGATAAGAGCAGTGGCCACTGGGCCAGTATTGCAAAATGGCCTTGGTATGTAACATGGCATCAATTCGTCTTGGAAAAACTCGTTTTCAAAAAGAAAATGGATAAGAGATAAAAAGAGAGAAAGTAGAGAGAAAAGATTCTGCCTCCCCCAAAGGGAGCAAAAAAGGAAAGGGGAAAAGGGGAGGGAAAATGGTTAGGAGGAGATAAGGGAGAGGGGTATAAGGAGTTAAAGGAAGTGGGAGCGGGAGTGTGATGCAGGGGGTATCCGGTCCACTAGTAGGCCTCTTACACAGCTGCCAGGCTCACAAAGGAAATTGTTGGGTATTGGTGTGTAAGCCATGGGTTCCAAATTTTTAGGAATTTGGCATGAGGGTAAGTAAGAATACTGGTCAGCTGTTCCATAATAAAGATGCCATCTAGGTGAGATTCAGCTTCTGAGAAATGGGTAAATTCCTTCCTCCATGCTTTAGCGATTGTGAGCTAGCAGGACAAAATGAACCAATTTAAGTTAGTGCTTAGTAATGTCCAGGGAGTTGAAATGCAGGAGGGGCAGCCAAGGGTACTTAGTGAGCAGCGTTTCTAGTGGGGCATGCAATAGTGAAAAGACCAAAAATGACTCAACATAGGACAGGTCCACCACGTATGTAGAACATCACCAGCTGTCTGGCATCCTCAAAAGCAGTAGCCGGAACATGTGCTGATCTGGAGGGCATCATATACCATCTGGTCATCACTTTATAGGCAGATTCGAGTGTTGTAACATTAATGGTGCAGGAGGCAGTGGCGGACCAAACATCATGGCAATCAAGGGCTGAATTGTGAGCCTTCAGATTTTCCTCCTACCAAATCACATAGGCATGGGCTGTTGACATAGGTAGTCAGCTAAACTGAGAATATACCAAGGAGATACGTTTATAAGCCAGTGGGGTTCAGGAGCAGGTATGTTCGAAGACAGTGAGTGGAAACCTTGTCTATTTTCATACTATAGTAAATAATGACCTAGCCTCAGGAGAGTGCATAGCCTCATGTTATGTCCCTGTACTGAACACCAGACAGAACTTTTCATAGAACATACAGGAACATTTCATGAAAATTGTCTTAACCGGTGTGATATCTATTACAGGCAGAGAGGATTACATTGCTTCTAGGCTGACCAACTTGGAAGGGGGTCCCTTTCTGTCTCCACCAGTAGAGCATGCAAAAGCAGTTCTTTACTTGGAGAGACTTTTGATTTCTTGGCTTTGAGTCCTCTATATACACAGAG